GCTATTTAAGATATTATTTCCGATGGTCAGAATGATTGTCATAAGACGACACACTTTGTTCAAAATTTCACTATAATTTAACTAAAATGTTGTATTGTTTCGAATAATCTCTTTTATGGTTTTTCATTCATTAAATAGAGTATTTGGCAGCACTTCTTGTGTATTTTCTTATGTTCAGTTGGTATTCTTCATGACTTATCAATTGAAGGTAATATGTTTCGAGATATATACTGCAGTTTTTTAAATGCATCTGTATTGCTTAGCTTTAGGAAACCCATCTAGCTTCTTTAAAGAATCTGACACCCATCCACGTTTTGTACGTCAAGCATCATGGAACGAGCTCAGTTGTTTATGTCCTTGTGGATGCGCAACAACAACAGCATCAACAACATCCAGTAAGGTTCTAGTATCGGTTATTTTAGACGGATCTATATGTATAAAAATATGATTACACAGCTACTCCAGAGAAAAACAAAAGATTTCGGCCTTTGAGCCATAGAAAGTCTTCTGGAGTCTTGAGGTCGGTTATTTCATTCGCTACTATCTCGAACAAAAAATTCAGTCTAATAATTCTGAAAGAATCCAGATTTGATTTGAAAGGAGATGGATCAAAGAGCCTTATTCATAATGCATCTATAAGCCACCAGACAGCTAAAACAAGAACCAATGTGTGTTTAACTGTTCCTTAGAGCGGTCTAGTTTTTATGATCTACTTGTCTCTTCGATCTGTTCACTTTTCATACATATGTATGAAAAGTGAATGGGTGAATGAGAAAAATAGATCTTAAAAATTAGACGGCTCTCAGCAACAGATAAACACACATTTGTACTTGTTTCAGTTGTCTGGTAGCCTATTGGCGGATTGGAAATACGATTTATTGGTATTATTGAATTGTTCTAGCATCGATGAAGAGTGTTCATGCTATGTTTTTATGAATCCATGCATAACAAATAGATTGAAGATAACTGTTCCATTTTACTTAAGCTGTTCTATATAAAAAAACTGCTTCCCTCGAAATGACATTGTTTTTTACGATTTTGGACTGATATTTTTAGTGTGTGTTGAACATAATGAGATCTAATTACCAGCGTAATTTATCCATGATTGCATAAAATATAGCGAGGTTATGAATGAAATACTATCTACAACTTCTGATCTCCATGATTAAGCTACTTTAGCATATTTTTTTTCGCAACTCCTCATTACAACGCCTAATTTCGCAATTGCCTTGGATCTAAATCTGATAAGAAACAATTTCGAAAACGTTGAAAAATGTTTTCTTCAATGAAAAGATTTCCTTAACGTTTATATCTATGATTTAGTGAAGTACATCTATTCAGGATAGATTGCATCGATTGACTTTAGAAGTTTTAGTACCATTTATCACGACTCTTCTCTGAAAATTTCAGAATTGTTACTCGAAGAAGATCGTCGATGTAGAAATATCACAAAAATTGTTCAGTAAACTACTTGCGAACTGCTTACTTGTTGAATATATATGTTAGCATGTGGCCAGGAGCAAGTATATGAATGGAACTGCTTTTAGTTCAAGAAAAAGCAGTACTAACTTAACAAAATGACTGGATGATTGGCTATAGTTTTCAGAAGCGATATTTTTGCTTCGCATCATGAATCATGTGATAGTTATGTTTTTATACAAATTCAACTTTTATCAGCCATCTGTGTCAATGATTTCAGCATTTATTTATACAGGTTGCTAGTTGAAATCGACCAAGACATTTTGAAAAACTTTATGAATTCTGAAATAGGACTATCATGCGTGCAAATGATGGTTAGTTTTCTTCGTACCATTTTCTAGAACTTTTCGGCTGTCACCACCCAAAAACCTATGGAATCGAGAACTGAGACCGCCGACCTGGATTAGTTTCTCATTTGTAAGGTTGACAATGCAAAGAAATTTCACGTTCATATATACCAGAAGTTTGTAATAACTTGTCTTTTTGTCCCTCAAGATTGGAGTTTTAAGAATTGGAACATTGATACAATTTTGCATGATTGATTAAATATTATTTAGGAAACATTTGTTCATGATAATACATCGGGCATTTCAGACATTCAATGTATGATATATGTGTATTGCTCAATGAATCGCTATATATGTCAGTTTTCAATACTGCATTGCTTCTAGATGTGTACATTGATCGCTGTACTCGCCGCTGCCAAAAGAAAAATAAAAAGTTGATAAAGTTTTAAAGATGTTCGGCCCACTAGGATCATTTCTCGTGAATGCATTGTCTAGTTTGCTATCAGCGTGTCCCATGGCGTTATTTTGCTTTTCTTATAACTAAAAATTTCTCAGAGTAAACAAAATATTCATTGATATCTCCAGAAGTTTCCAGCCGCTGCTATATTTATGAACCAGCTTACGCCACCAAATTCATTCAATCTAACACATGATATTGAGCGTTCATTAATTTAGAACAATCTCAGATTTATTAATTACAATAAATCGAATCTAAGATTCATCTAAAGTACTCTTATAACGTAATAATCGTACTACCGATCTCATACTCTTCCAGAACAAAATACGTTCGATAGGATTAAATAATGAAGAGGCATTTCCCAGTCTCTAAGCTGATTCATGTTATTTTTAGACTATCAGCAAACTTCAATGATACATTAAAAAACAGAACCGGGCTCTTTCTGTTAAGATTAGATGAATCCGTGGGGTTTCTACTACTTTCGAGAAGAAGAGTATTCTGTGCCAATGTTCTAAAAGAAAGTTTTTTTTCGATTTTAATAGTCTAGTTAGACGTAACGTCGTCGAAAACGGTCTGAGGTAACAATTAAAATCTTTTTGAATATACAAAATGTGGAGACTCACATCATTTTTTTAGGAACACTCTACACATATAAAGAATATCCCATCATAATTGGTGATAAATTGTTAATCATATTATTCATACTTTTTATTGACATCGAGAGTCGAAATTCTTATCACATATATATCTAATCAAGATCTTTTATTTCTGAAAATTTCAGCTCTATAGCGAAAGCTAGTAGTGAAATGCATCAATTTTTGTACTGATTTTTGCAATAGTTTTATAATAAAAATATATAAGGGTGTGGATGTTGACAAAAAGAAAACACTTATCAAGATCCACTCCAACAGTCATACCCCACACTCATGAGTATGCGGATAGTGCTAGTTACTTTCATGTAAGTTACTCACGTCTAACTACTGAAATTGTTGTAAATTGCTTTTTCTATGCTCTTCTATGTACATTTTCAACATATTAGATGAGATAATTCATCTATCATATCATGAGCACTATATTTTGAGTCGTAAACAGGACAAATATCGACTAGCTCGCAATGCCAACCTTCGACGTGTGGCACTAGTGCGGCATCTTGTTCAACCAACTCCGAGTGCCAATGCCTTCCACTTACTTCAGGCTCGGGCTGTGTACGCGCCGTCGCATCGCTCTCATGCTCGAGTCTGACACCATGTTCGAGTGATAATATAACATGTACAGTGCCTTGCACCATCTGCGTTGTCAACACTCGCTGTAACAAACCAATGTGTTATCCACTAGCACTTGCCATCCCTCAAGTATGTCCACCGCTAAATTCAAGTGCATCAATACTGTCGGCTTCTACAACAACAATACGGGCAACGACAACAACACCGGCAGCAACAACACGGCCATCAACAGCAATGGCCAACACAACAACGAATGCTACTAAAGCCACGGCAACAAGTGAGTATTCCACTCTTCTATCACAAGAATATCAAGATAGCAGAAGCGAGCACATAGCGTCTTTTCTTACCCTACTCTGCCCTGTGCCATAGCCTTCAATTTTTTCACCATTCAATCCTACAGAACAGAGAATGAAAGTATCTACTTCATCCTGTGCCCAACTCTACAAAAGTATTATGTTCTTCTTAGTTTCTTATTCTCAAAAGAAAAGTAAACATAACCCGAGTCAGCGTGTAATACCTTTATGCAGATCAATTGTTAGAAATAGGATATGAGCTTTTGTGAACGTAGCCTTGTGTTCTGATAGAAACAAGTCCAACATTCGTTTTTTATCCAAGAGTACGTGTTAAACAACTAACGTAAGCTTGTAGATTTTTTCTCGACATATTTGAGTATTCCACTTTCTCAGCCTTTCATTATTCTCACAACTGTTATACATTATATTTTTGCTGTCTTCACATTTTCTATATCACAAACCTTAATTGAATAGCAACCACTCCAATACCACCATGCACACCTACCAATGTGGGTTCTTCCAGTACGCTCTTGTCAATATCATCGGCCAACACCACCATATACACTTGCTATTGTTATAAGTGGATAGCGCCAGACACAGGCATCTATACACTTACCTTTGAATTTCGCAATGCACCTAATTACTGGTATCTTGATGATGTGTCAGTTTACAACGGAGGTGCTAACATATTGGTCAATGGAGGCTTTGAATCAGGCACTTTCTCACCATGGGTGGTGACAAACCGTAATGGACCTTGCGGTCTAAATGGAGCCCAAATCTGTACTTCCAGGCAGTATAATGGTAACTATAACTTTTGTGATGGTTGTAAGTCAGCTGCAGATCAAATCAGCCAGCCGTTCATGGCCACAGCCGGACAATTTTATATCATCAGCTTTTGGCTAGCAACAGGATCAACTGAACCGGTAATATCGGCTCTTGTCACCATCTCGCCATCTAATAAAAACTAGTTTTTAACTACTGACCTCATGTCAAATTCTCTGTCCGTTTGCATATGAACAAAAAACTGTATCGCCTCTTCTTTAGTGGTGTTTCGAAACAAGCGACCGCAATAAAGCAATTTTCAGCAGTGGCATCAGTATTGACTCCTGCACTTGCAGATGTGGCTGAGTGTGGGTGTGGGTGTGCGTGTGGGTGGGTGAGGGTGTAGGAGTGGGTGTGGGTGGGTGTGGGTGTGGGTGGGTGTGGGTGTGGGGGGGGGTGTGTGGGTGTGGGTGTGGATGTGGATGTGAGTGTGTGTATTTAAAGAACATAAGCCACACCCACATTCCCATCCTCATACCCACCCCACACCCACACCCACACCCTTCTCGACACAAGTAAGTGGATATACGTGACACACTAGTATAAAACTCAATCTATAGTTAGTATATTGGAAGTTGCATAGAAATGCAATTTTTGTTGACAATAGTATACAATATATCACAAGATAAAAAACTTTTTAGGTTCATTAAAAAGAGTTGTTAGTCATATAATTAGTTATACGGTGTATATTTCAAAAATATCTAAAGCTTTTAGAAAGAATCGTTTTTGTGCAAGATTGCTTTAATTTCATCAATGAATCGTATATAAGTATTCATTGACAACATCTGTTGATGTTGCTCAGCTAGTTCATTTTTTATCAACTGAAATGTTTGGTACCAGTCGCGTTCTGTTTGTTGAAACAATTGGATTAATTGTCTGCCATTTAAGTTTTGGCAGAGAGGAATCATTGGTAGCAAATCGTATTCTCGAAGAAATGTCATCACCTGTTCTCTTGACCATGTTTGAATGCCAGTTAGTTGTCTTGGAACATTAGATAGAAGAGGCGAAGAAATCATAGAACTCGTTGTTGGAGCAGGTTTTGATGCTATCTCGTTTCTAGACAGAAAAAGAGCCGTCATTCATCTTGAAATTAGTGAAAAACAGACAGAAAGACCTTCGACCATATACTGATGGCAAACCTCTCTGCACAAGAGTTATGAATAATGATTGGTTTATTTTTTTTTTATTTCGATGACTTTTCTAGAGGATAATTAATTCTGACTACAAGATTTCAGAAATTCTTCAAAAGTATACTTGAGCATCCTACATATTTATCTGAAAAAAAAGATCCACCAACATCACAAAAGAATAATGCTGTCGGTTTAGATACAAAACAAAAATCATTTTCTAGTATATTTCACTACTTGTACTTCATCTTTTGACAGACAAACACGCTCAAGAATGCAATTTGTTCGGCATTTTAATACTAGATGGTACTCGAGTTTTACTCGACTAGGAAATTCGATTCAATAGCACATCTTTACTATTAGAAATTGATCTATCACATAGCCGCATGTCCAACTTTGACCGTTCTGCTGTTTTATTTTCTACATGCAGCATCGGTATAGGGTAGGGAATTTTCTGACATTCAAAGTTAGAAAGAATGCTAGTGGAATAGTATGTCTTAATTGACGCCCTCGAAAACAGCTTTATCGACATGTATAAGAAAATCTCTTACATAGCGAAATCATTTCATTTTTCGAATGATGTAATCAATTCCAACAATTTTTAGGCAATCGCAAATCTTTCTAAATAAGTAGCAAACCATACCAGCATATTGATCGGCATGTAACCAGCGTCACTGACAATGGAAAGAATTGAGTTCACCAAGCTCTGTCATTGATGAACAGCCAGATTCATTAAATCGAATCCATCGTTTTTAGGCGGTTGGCATATTTCCTATGAACGGTGTTAATAACTAACATTTCCTCTTATCTCTTCATTCTAACAGTTATTATTGTGATAGATCCAGCCTATATCTCTTTTTTTTAAACCAATAATCAAATTTAAAACGTTCAACAATTGCCAAAGAAGAAAAGAATTTAAAAAATAAATCGAGGAGGAAGTAGAGAAAATTACTGGTACTTTTATAACTCTTGTAATGGTATGTCGAACTTCAGCTAAATATAAAAATTCTACTTCTCGATGTTGCCTTATTTTCATGAAAAAGATCCTTTCTGTTGAATTAACTATTGACTCGTGTTCTAAACTTCTCACTTGATCAAGGTCGTACGAATGATTTTTCTTTACTCAACCTTTATTTTAACTGTATGTAAAAGAGAGGTCTAATATGCGAAAACTTTTCTTTCGCATACAAATAAGTTTTTTCTGTCAGCGATTCCTCTTTGTGTAAACAAATATTCGTACCGTTCTACAGTTTGATGTTGAATGCTACCAATTTCATTTACTAAATCAACCATTTTTTTGTCGAAAAGGGCTGGATTAGCGAAATCCGTGTATAACAGACTGGAAACTATGAATCCGAGCCAACCATTCAGCTTCATATCCTTCATTTTAATCGGGATAATTGTCTTGCCTTGTGTTCGTGCATAGGTAGCTTCCGATTTACAGTTGACCGAATTCTTGTACGTTTCGGACATGCACACGAGAACACATTTTGAATTTTCAATTGCTTCAGCCATTCGTACAAATATGTCACCGTGCATCTTATCACGATCAAGCCAAACACGATATTGATATTTTTCAGTGAGATACTGATATATTCGATGTGCTAGTTCTTTGTCATTCCACGAATAACTAATCATGAGGTCAAACTGTGGTATATGGAGCATTTCGGTGTCAGAAAGAATGTTTGTATTAGTCTGTTGGTGTTGACGCTGTTTTTCATTTTCTAGTTTCCATAGAATTCCATGAGCCGCTTCCTTTAGACCGTCTGATCCATAAGAATGCCATTTGCCTTTTTTTGTTCCGCTTATAATTGCGTTCACATGTTCCATAAGGATCTGATTTTGTTTCAAGATATTGGCAGCTTCTTTGTTGAATGAAATAAGAGTTAAACATTTCAATGCTAACTGCTGAGTAGAATCTGTTTGATGCGGCCATGGACACTCTTCAGTGGCAAATCTAATCAGATAATTTAAACCATCACTTTGTTTCACAAATTCATCTTTCATTTCATCGTGTTGCAACAGTGCTGAAAATAGAACAGAAAAAAACATAATTTCATCGTGACATTATTGCAATGAGTTTACCCTACCTTTCAAACTTTCTAATAGGTCTTCCAAATTTCCACCGGACGTAACTCGGCAAAAATCGCAATAGGCGTCTTTTAAATACGTAATAAAGACCGAAGTTATATCTTTGATATTTTGTAACTGTTTGATATCATTATCATCAATAATCCGAGCCAAAATATTGTAGGCATAGATGGGTATAACACGATATTTAACAGTAATATCAGCTGATGTCAAGTTTAACAAAATCTGTTTAACGTCCGATCTTTCATTAACGATTGTTACCAATTGTGGATATGTGGTAATCAATTTGAACACACATTCCAATGTTGCTCCTATTAACCACGTTGCTGTGGAATTTAACTGTGGATGGTTCTCTCCTTGTTCACTCATTTCCTTGCAAAAGACGGCAGATGATTGTTGATCTTCTTCAGCAACAATTCCATCAAACAATTGTTGATCACCCAAAATAATAAAAAGATCACTAATCAATCTTCGATAATCTTGTTTTTCTCTTTCTGGCAGATTTGACGACTTCTCTTTGTTATTATCAAATAACAGATTAAAAATAGCTAACACATATTTCAGTGGACGAACAAATAATGGTTTTGATCCAGTAATTAAATGTATGAACAACCAAAACAGATGACTTGATCGTTGCTGCCAAAACAAATTTCTGAAATTCTTGTCATCAAACAGGAAACATACCGAGCCAGACAAAAACCCGTAGGTATAAAACAATAAAAATTCTTGTTGTTTGCTTAAAAAAGAGTAATCACCTTCATCGGCAAATTTCAGAAAAGCTATTCTGTACTCTTCGGAATCGATACATTTGAAAATGGCATTCACAATACTAGCTGACGTTTTTGGTTGTAATTCTATATTCCATGGATCACCATTTATTATGTCTATCAACAATAGCCCTAGATAAGTAATTTTGGCTTGTCCAGATTCATCAGGTTGAATTGTAGGTATTTCAGCGACACGATCAGCAATTAACTGATATAATGTCTCGTCAAACAATAATCTACGTGATATGCTACTTGCCGTATTTCTTTCTTCGTTATTTTCGTTCGTTTCTTCTTCATCGCTGTTGTTTTTGTTACGATCATCTGGCATTGGTAAACATCTTACAATCGGCTGGAATAGTTTTATTATTTTCGCAAACAAACAAGATTCGATTTCGTTCAGTTGATGCCAATTTTGTAAAAAATTTACGAGTTTATCTCGTATTATCACAAACAAAGGATGTGAGAATAACGATAAGCAAACCTGTTCCATACGTTCACGGTATTGTATATCTTGTTCTTCATGACCTTCACGTGGAAGTACATCGATAATTTGATTAATGATTTGATCGAGTGTAGTGGGATCGAAATTGTATCTTTTAACAAATTCATCCAATAACGAAATAATTTTTTCAGATGTAATACTTTTATCCTCGTCTAAATTTGGTTGATCACACATGATCACAGATACATATGCTTCTTTACCTGTATGATGAAAGCTGGGTAATATGGAACAAAATTGATGTCAACGTGTAATATATTATCAAGTTTAACCATGCGTGGCTTTTTACTTTTGTAAATAAAAATATGTGCTGAGTTACAAATATGTTACTCACTTCTCTTTTTTTTTCTGTCTTACAGTACACGTCTGTTTTCACATGTTATACAAAAATATGAGCAACCATTTTCTCTTTCTTTTTCTGCGTCACAATGAAAGGAAATATGGATGAGTCACCATAGGCGATAAAGGACCTTCAATTTAGTAGAGGCTAAAAAAAATTTTCAAATGATGACAACAGTGAGAAAAAGAGATAGGGATTGACTTTTAGAATTCTTTATCTTCTCCTATACAGTAGAGTGTTGGATAGAATAATTGAAATGATCATCAGCAGAGTTACCAGATCCCCTGATTTAACTAAGGGTCTCCTGATTTTGAAACTTTTCTCCTGCTAAAAATTCTTCTGAATTCAGGAGCTGATTTTGAGGATTTTCTCCTGATTCCTCCTGATTTCACAGTTTTGGTAGATTCGATTTTAGTGACAATTTGAAACAATAAAAAGGCATAGAAGAAAAAGAGAACTGTTATAGTTAGAGACAATAATCTTTTTGTTCGTCTTCTTGATGAAGCCATGGACACATGAGAAGACTCTTTCACCCCGCATTTAAAGGAGATCAGCTCTCGAAACAACGATCCTAAAGACAGATTTGAAGACCCATTCACTCGCTCCAAAAGACTTATCAGAGGGAATGTGTGAGTCTTTTAATCTGCCATTAGTGTCGCTTATTCAAGGAAAGGCTCCTCTACGTTGAGGAAGAGGGGGATCTTCTAATGTATCTGTCACAGTTGACATGGGAATTCAGTTGAGTTTGGAATGCATGTTAATACTATGAGTCACACGATAATTAATGTTTGTTTACTATTGTATTCAATTTTTGTAATTTTAGCGATTCTAAATGATTGGTCGCACTTCTATGATTTATTTTAACATATTTACATATAGAATATTTTTATTTTTAACCATTCTTATTTAGTGGGTATTGGA